TTGTCTCAAACATTGGAAGGTACACCCAACATACCAAAACCACATCGATGGCCAAGGCTGAAAGATAAAGCTGAAAAGGCTCGTTCCACCGCGATGGAATTGAACAGGCTTGGCATTCCGCATCAGGACGCCTCGTCCTTAGCTTCGCATGGGTAGGGGCACATTGGTTTTTTGATTCTTGAACATTTGACTGTGAGGCCCTGCAGGAATCCCTCAAGAAACACCATGAGTTCTTTCGTGATGTGGCGCAGCAGTGCTTCCCCCAGACTTCTGTGAAAGGTCTGCCCAAGAAACAAAATACATGGTACCTGATGGCAACTCAGGATGGATGATGCCAGTTTCAATGCGATAGACCCAGCGGACATCAGGGCGATCAATGCCAAAAAACAGAAGAAGATTGAGGCAAGGTGCCAATCTTCATCTCAATGTTGCCAACTCGCGTTGATCCAGCGTTGATCCAGGCGGCCTTGGAGGATCTGGACAACGCGCATGGAACCATTCGAACCTGGAACAGCCGTGTGGCCCTCATTTGATGCATCCCGCGTACTTTCATCTAGCTTGAGTGTTTTGTGTTTCAGGTCTCCGCTCCAAGGAGAAGGCTGAAGAAAAGCAGAAGAAGAAGAAACTAGAAGAAGAAAGAAAGAAAAAGGAAAAGCGTGCAGAAGAAGAAGAAGAATGGGACGAAGCCGCCGTTTGGGACCTTGAAGCGGAAACCTGGGCGGAAGCAGATTTTTCAAATGTAGTGGATGAGGAATGGTATGGTGGCAATTCTGGCTAGACCACCTTGGACCCGCTAAGCGGCCCCAAGAGCGTAGATTTGGCCACGCCTTGAGGGCCTTGAATTGGGGATGGCAACACCTGCAATAGTTCAGGTGCTAGGCTACTAGATTGGGGATTGAAAGATGAAAAACAACAGCCTGAACCTTTTCATTCACTGATTCACCGTTCACCTCAATCGCCAGCTACAGCAATGACCCGTGCAGGCATCTTGCGACTGCCACCCAAAAGGAGACCATAGACACTTTGGTGAACGAGCTCTTCCAAGAACTTTCGAATGGGAGTGCGACTCAACTTGCATTCTCATGATCGCAACTGCAAACAACCCGTGACCTAAATCTGGAAAACTCTGAAATATGTGAGGCGAGCGTCAGCGATGTCAAGAACAAGGTGGCCCACATAGCCAAGCTCAATCATGATCTGATCCCGCGCCTCGGAGAAGTGTATGTTCCGTTGTTGGAGGCCTCAAGATTCTTGTTTCTCACGCTTGTCCTCTGGAGAAGTGTATGTTCCGTTGTTGGAGCCCCCAAGATTCTTGTTTCTCATGCTTGTCCTCTTGAGGGAATCGATCTTGGACCTCCACATGATGTTCGAGTGTGGTGGTGGCTGGGGCTTAGAGCGGACTTTCGACAGGTGGATTGGAAAACAAAGTTGGCGGCATGCTTTGCCGACTTCATTTTTTGAGCTGCATGCCTTCATGGTGAAGCTTTGATGGATTTACAGTTCTTTACTTTCCATCTTTGCGAATAGTAATCGAGGACCATCGAGGGCCATATTTGGTGTCCCATGAAAAAGTAATGGAAACAAATTTTCAGCCAAAGCAAGGTTTGATGTCCTTGCTTCTTGTCTTGAAGTTTCAACTACTTTCTTGGTTGTTTGCTAGTGTTTGGAGTATGTCCTCTTACAGTCTACACGTCCCTTTGCGCAGCTCAGGCGCGCGTGACCAGGAAAGAGTCCTTGGTCGACGGAAGCAAGATGATCAGGCAACATGTCATGTGTCCGCATGACATTCTGGGATGCCTGTATCAGTGGCCTGGTATCTTCCACTATTTGTTTACAGGGGTGCCTGGGAAACTTGATGCCTATTGGAAGCGGAACCAAGATCTTGCCCTGGATGTTCTATTACCTGGTGTTGATGCTGGTCCCATATACCCAAAAGTTGTTCCTTTTGAGTCCCTGGTTTGTGTGAGTGATTTAGATTCAGAATTCAGTGGCGCACGCTTGATCAAAGGACATCCGCAGATTCATTCCTGTACGTTTGTATGGTGATGGGGCAGAGTCAAAGAATCCCTTTGAGATTTTCACCCTCCTCAGTGTCTTGGGGGAGAGTGATTCTACCCTGGATTCCCGCATCCTCACTGCGTCGCGCAATACTCTTTCAACGGACGACAGCTCAAGGGACCAAATTTTGTTTCAATCCCTTTTTGGAGCCATGAACAAAAATCAGGATACTCCATGTTCCACCATTTGACCTGCACCCAAGGAAATGGAGAGTACCCAGCGGTGGACCCCTGGGGTGTTGAGTTCTCTGCAACATACACGCCTGAACGGCAGAAGGTGGCAAACACTAGAATTATGGGACCATGGCATGCTTGTCTAGATGGAGTGCAGGGCGATGCTGATTTTATCGCAAACCTTTTCCACCTCAAAAGACGCTTTGATTATGGGAAGACTCATTGTGTTGTATGGTAGTTCGACTTGGAACCCAGTCAACGACTTTTCATATTCCATGACCCTGCAGCAGTGTCCCAGGAAGCTATAGACATCGGGAATGCTGTTACCACTGCGAAGCATTGAGTCACACTCGGGAGGGGGAAGATGAAGGGCGCCTATACACGCACTTCGGCCCAGGTGCACTTCATAGAGCCATGCTTCTTAACATGCAGGACTCCAGGACTGCTGAACGGACATGGCTCGACCGTTTCGAGGCGTTTTGAGGTGTCTTGATGTACTTAAGTAAGGTTGACTACATCCAAAGACTTTGTTGAGAAGTACTCGGAATCTGCGATCTGCCAAATCACTGGTTTCAACAGCTGGCGAAACATGGCACCAAATAAAAATAACAATTGCGTTCCTACACGTGCAGTTTCTGTAGTGTCTATAGTTGGGTCAACCTGACAAACAAAGGCATCTTCCCAGATCTATTGCGCATTGTGGATTTGGCTTTGTTGCCTGATCTCTATGCTTCGACGTTCCTGGTGTACACTGATGGTGAGGACCTCTATGATCGCAGGTCTCGTGACAAGCGCCTGAGAGAATTGTACAGGCAGTATGTGCAGTGGTGCATTTCAAGTGGTCACTAGGCCAAACCTATTTGGGTGAGGTTTTGACCCCATCAAACGCAAATTGGAGAAGGGTTCTTGTCAACTAATAATGGCCCTTCATGTCAGGCATCCCGCACAATTTCCGAGCAAGGGCAATCCTTTTTGAGAAGGAGTCACTCCAGAAGAAGGCAACCACCTACCCCTCTATTGGACAGAAAAAATTGAATGGAGCGGCTTCGCGGCTGATGATCAATTTCCTCATGGAAGTGTCGCATGACATCTCTGCAGCCCATCCTGAAAACAATGTTTACAGGCATGTTTAGTTGAAAAGTGTTCGCAAAAAGTGTTGTGTGTGTTTTAAACAGGAGGGGCTGCTCCTTACTTACTTGTGAGTGCTCTGCCCGCCAGATGGATTGCTGAAGCCTCCAGAGCTCTGGCGAGTCTTTTGGTGGTCTTTGCAAGGAATGGCCCAGGGCTATTGCCAAGGAATGAAGTCAATCTCTGCAACCAGCATTACATCAACTACAGGGAAGCATACAACAGTGCTGCGGCCATTTTTCAACAGATTTTGTCTTTTGAAGACATGTTCTGTGGCCTCCTACCTACTAGCTATGGCCTCCAACCTACTATGGCCTCCAACCTACTATAGCTATGGTGTCTTGTAAGTCATTCCTTGGAACCAGGCCTGTCGCTGTAGGCTCTTGAGACTTCACGCTTACTTTTTCAAGTACGTCCAAAGATCCACCAACTGGAACACATGCAACTCAGCTGGTTCACTTGCACGCAAGGCAGTCCTATGTTTGTCTGCTAGCACTAGTGTTTTGAAAAGCTCAGGATTTATGACTATCTTCCGGTCCATGGAAACCCTCGATATTACCAATGTCTATTGGACGAGGATATGGTGCGCAGAGTAAAAGCCATTTGCAGTAAACTGCATACACGTACATATAGCTTGAGAGCCCTGCAGCATTATTGCGCAATGGCATGTTTGAGATGGGTACTTGGACGTACCTGATGCGAGTGCCTGTGAGTTGAAAACACGTCTGCGTGTGAGTGGAAGATTTTGTGGAAACTTTTTTTAAGCCCACTTGGGCAGGTGTGCAGACCCCATGGCTCAGTCTGTTGGTTTTGGTATCATTTGGCGAAACTGATTGCTACTATGCTGGTGTTCCACCTATATGGCTCAAAGCTACATGTCATGAAGTTTTGGCTAGAGGAGGGGGGTCTATACGACACAGGGGGTCTATACGACAGATGTCATATAGAAGGGTCTATATGGTCTCTCAACCTCTGGTGGTTGGCGGCTTTCCTTCTCTCGCGTGACTTGTCTCTAGCGCTTTGAGCCTCTGAACCAGAAGGTCCCCCGCAACTGGGGCCTCCCCCTGCATCAACAAGTCCACGGCGGTCCCCAGTCTTGTCAACTCTCTGTGATTTCGAACTCCTATGGCTTGGGGAGGGCACTGAGCCAGTACCACTTGGTTCAGGCCATCATCTTCGAGTTCAACCACCCGTCTTCTTCTCCTCCTGCTTCGGCTCGGCTGGCTAGATACCTGCTCAGCTCCTTCATTGCGCTCTTCAGGAGCTTCCCTGTGTTCTTTATCGAAAGCTGCCACTGCTCGACCTCCCCCGGTTCCGATAAATTCCTGGTGAATGAGGGATCAGCCCCGGTGCCTGCTCGCACTGTCCATGAGTCCACAAATTTCTGAACTGTCTCTAACGCAACTTTCTTGCTATATACTCCATCTCTGACGCGATTAAAACGTTCACCAAGCCCCAACGACTGATGTGTACAAGCTCTCTTCGATCTCCTTTGGGCCGCTTTTCCTTGCGCTTCATTTATATCACTCCCCTTGCCATCATTGAGGTACTTCTGTCCATATCACTCATAGAAGCCGTCGCTGGCTATCAGGTGGTCTCCTATGAGGTATCCTTTGCCAACGTCACCACAATCATCAACTCTCAAACATGACTTTCCTTGGGGCTTTCCACTCCAATCATAGCATCGTACTCCAAAATAAACCCTTTGTTGAGCACCGATTCCGCATAAGCCCATGCGTCATCCTCAAGGCTCAAGCCTACGAGGGACAGGACCCTCCGGACCCCCCTCTCACAGTGGAGAGCTTTCGGAAGGCTCACCCTTTTTCTCTACCGCTGCCTCTCGTAGCTTCTGCTTCGCCCTCGGCTACGTTTTCCTTCTCTTCCTCCTTCTTTCGTTGTTGCTCCCTGCGTTCAGCTGCACGTTTCTCAAGAAGCGCTCTAGCAGAACCGCAGGGCCCCCTTCCAGGCTCATCCTTCTTTTCTTCTATCTGTCTTTTCATCCTTTCTAACCTTAGCGAACTTTGCAACTTCAAGAGCCTTGTCCAATCCCGTCGGATCACCATGGCCCTCAGGGCCTTTTCTCTCTTTTGGTGGTCTCACAGGTTTTGGAACACGGGGTACCCACAATTCAACAAACTTCACAATTGCATCCACCTTTTTCGAATACTCCATCTCCGACATCATGAACACATTCACCAGACGCCATCGACTGATATGGACCACCTTCTCTTCCACCTCCTCGACTCAACTTGTCTTTGCACTTCTTCCTGTCATCTCTGCAGAGATGGTACAAAGACTTGCTCTCCTTCAGGTACTGTTTGCCGTGCCATTCATAGTACCCATCGCTGGCGACAAGGTGACCGCCGATCAGGTGACCATGGCCAAGATCGCCCCAGTCCTCGACCCTTCCTTGTGGTCGACTATTCCAGTCATAGTACTCATGCTCCATCAGGCAGCCTTTGCTCAAGACTGACTTGGCATAGCTCCAGACGTCATCATGACTGCTGGCATTGACCCATATCATATGATTGGGCAGAAGGCCTCCCTGCATGAGGTCACTCCAGTCCTCAAGGGTGCTACCCTTCTTGAACAACCTTATGCGCTTCCATCGTCTCAAGTCCTCCAGACTCAAGTCACAGAGGGTTAGGGCCGAGTGGACGCCGCTCTTCTGTTTGGGGTGGCTCCCCTTTTCCTAAGCACAGGCACCAAGCACTCCTCCCTTTCTCACCTCAAGGAGGGTGATCTTTGGCCACCTTCCAGCAGCCTTTGCCGCTAGGAAGGGATCCAGTCGCCGGAATGACTTAACTTCTCTTTTCTAGATACCTGACCTGTCCCCCCTCCCCCCAGAAGGAAGGCTGGGGTGGAGAGGTCAGGCACCTTGAATTTGAAAGCTACCGGTGGGACACGCATTTCATGCATATATTAGCGATGGCCTCCTAGCAGTGGCTTCAAACCTAATAGCAGGGCCCGTATAGCAATGACCCCCAACCTCAGAGGAATGGTTTCCAACCCAACAGCGATGGCCTCAAACCAATGGCCTCCAACCTAATGGCAATGGCCCTGGCATTTAAAAATAATAGCGAAGGCCTCCAACCTAATAGCAATGACCCGCGCCCAAATAGCAATGGCCTGCAAGCAAATAGCAATGGCCTCCAAGCTAATAGCAATGCCTCCAAGCTGAAAGCAATGGCCACCAACCTAATAGCCATGGCCTGCAAGCTAATAGCCATGGCCTCCAAGCTAATAGCAATGGCCTCCAACCTAATAGCCATGGCCTCCAACCTAATAGCCATGGCCTCCACCCTAGTAGCGAGTGCCTCCACGCGAACAAAACACAATGATATGCTGCGGGCTAAGGCACTTTTCACCATCACGCCAATCATCCAAAGGCCTTAGCCCAAGAAACATTCAAGCACATATGGTACACTATGCAAATGTTGAAAGGAGGGTATTGGTCCTTGTCCGTCCATCGTGGGTTCATGTTGGTCCTTATGATAGAATCTTCTCTTAGACTCACGTCTTTGGGCTGCACATACTGAACTATTTGTCCTTTCAAATTCTGTCAGTCTTTTCCTGTCTCCCAATTTGTTTAGCTGCTAAATGTCCAACAAATCCTAGGGGAGTTCTTAAAGAAACATTCTAGCTGCTACTCGTCTTGTTCAAAGTCTCAGTATTCATCTCCTTTCTCTCACTCTTCATGCCTCCCCACTTAGAAAGAACATTATGTTTAGGTGCTCCCTCTTGTTTCAACCATTTCCATGGCTTGCGATTGTTCCTTGACCGTCATCAGTCTGCAGTCCGAAGACGTTTAGAAAGCTTGAAACGCGTGCATTGCATATACCTGCTCAGTCTGCTTTATGAAGAACAACGTGGGTCGCTTTGGCAAAGAATCCAAGCCTGTTCGTTCCTTCTGGCTTTCGAGCACCACAGGAAATGCAGGTCTGCCTGCACCAAAGATTGCAAAACAAGGAGAACTGTTTTCTTCACGCCACTCCCAGCTTCTTGGGCTCTTCTGAATGTCGTTTCAACAATCCGAATTGGAAGCGAATGCGCAACAGTGCAAAATGATCCCCGTCGCTACCAACTATAGAAGTTCACCCCTCATTTTATCCCGAATTTTGTTAAGCTATTTTCGCACACCAAAGGTCTGCACAAGTCATTTGATCCGAAAAATCGTAAAACCCAAAATCTGAAACAACTTGCTAATTTGGCAAGTTTGCAAACCCATCCGTGCTAACCATTTCATTTAAGACTCATTTCAAACAACCCTTGAACTGTAACTAAATGATTCTAAATGAGTCGAATAAAACAGGTTTTCCGTGGTCGACCACACTCATTCTAGATAGCCCGTAGCAACGGGGATGCAAAATGTAATTGATGTTTCCCTGCGCCGCACCGCGCTAGAGTTGCACTTGCCTCTTTTTGAAATTCACGGTCCTGCAGCTGGGCTTGGGACATTGCCAGTCCTGCACACTCGTATGGCATACGTCGTGTGGCATATCATATGTGAATAGGTCTGCAGCTACGTAATCACTTCCTACATGGTTCTTAATAATCTTTTCCCGTCCGCACACGGATATGTTCAAGTCCGAACTTCAGATGGTTTGATGTTCCGAGTCATGAGTGACAGCAAACTGACATTGAAGTCCCTAGAGTTATTTTACTTCGAGTGATCCCCGGCATGCCATTTCAATCATTTGAATCTCGTGCCATGGTGAGGAGCATGTTGCCATGGTCGTGAGCTTTGTGGTTTTCGATTGTGTTTGTGGGTCCTCGGGTTTGGGATTGCTAGTTTGGTGTTTCGGGGTTCGCGTCGGAGTGTTGCCAGGACTCCAGTTACAAAAGTGCCCGTTATACTTTTGTGGTCGTTGTGCGTGTGTTGTGATTGTGTGTTTGTGATTGCGCTTGTGGTTTGCCTGCTTGTGGTTGTGACTTGTGCTTGCGTATTGCGTATTGTGTATTGTTGTGTGTTAGTGCATGGTTGTGTTGTGTGGTTGTATGTTGTGCGTTGAGGGCCGGTGGTGCCCACTGAGATCTGGAGCTTGCAGTTGCAGTCGTGGTGGCGAGGAGGTGGGGGACGAGGAGAAGAAGAAGAGCTCTGATAAAATCTATTGTTACTACTAGTGTCCTTGTTACTACTAGTAAGGCACTTGTTACTAGTAGCGATGCACTTGTTCTGATAAAATCTAACAACCCTCACCTTGCAGGTGGGGAAAGAAGACTCATAGCCGCTGCATAGCTGGCGCTCCTTTGGATCGTAGGTATTGGGCTTGAACAAGCACATCATCTCACCTGAGCATATCATGTCACCTGGCCATCTGACCCATCTGACCGTCGCACAGACTCATAGTTCCACACATATCAACGGCCTCCTGCCAGCCTGAATCTTGCAACTACATCTTGCAATCTTTGATTGACAAGGACTGTTTTTGGCAGACCTTTGATTTTACACTCTTGCAATTTGCGAAGTTTTGCAGTTTTCATCGGCTTTGAAACTTTGGCCTCTCAAAGATCTTCTTCAAGGCACACGTCTGGCTGACCAAAATTTCAATCCATGGCTCTGCAACTCTAGGAACCTTCAGAATCACATTTTGTAGGATGGCATGATGACCATCTGAGCGAAGGCTGACAAATTTCACTTGGATATGGCTCAGGTTGTGGCTAAATACTTGAAACACATACTCATACACCATAATATGTGCTTTAGATCCGACTCGCTGAACCATTGCTTGACTGTTCTTTCTCCAGACCTCAAGTACGAGTTTGAGTCTGGTTGAGAAATGAAAGTGCATCCCCAAATGTGCAAATCTCTAACAAAAGAGTTCTGTCCAGCGCACTTTTCACAGGAAACATGTTGCAGCCCTTTGTCGCCTGCAGGCACAACAGAACATGGCGTAATTAGTGTAAAACAGGACAAACACCGGCTGCAAAGTCCAAGAAAGACTTATCAGTTTCACAGAAAACACATCTGATTCAATGTGCTTGCACTATTGTTCCATTGTGCCTGGATTTTGGCAAACAACCTGCCCAAAATCAGAAATCGGAGTGCGAATGTGGAATGTTTAGAAAAAACACATGAACAAAAACCCAATATTTTCTCTTCAGTTTGGAAGGTGACAAGTTTTCGACGGCCTGGGAACAGCGACACGCATGGCATGCAACTCAGCCGATGGTCCTGAATGACACGGTTCCGAACTCAGCGAACACGGTTCCGAGGGACAGTCGACGCTCAAATTGGCAAAGCCTAGGCTCTGCCGGGAAGTAGGTAGAGCCTAGACTACTAGGAGCAAGGACGCTACTAGGGGCTCCTGGCATCGCTACAAAAAGCAAGGACGCTACTAGGGGCTCCTGGCATCGCTACTAGGAACAAGGAC